ATCTTCCTTCTGCTTCTTCTTCAGCTCTCTCGTGCTTATTTCTTGTCTTCTAATTTTTCCTCTTTCTCTCTCCTCCTCCTCTCAGGTTTCTCATCCGTCTCTCTCTCTCTCTCTCTCTCTGTTCTGCTCTATATCTCTATCGCCGCTCTCTCTCGTGCTCTCTCTCTCTCTCTCTCTCTAATTGTATTGACTAATACTAACTAATACTAAGCTGTTTCCGTTAGCGACTTGCTATAACTTATACTCTTGCATGCGATGATGCAGACATAAAATGAAAGGCTCACGCTACCATTGCAGGTTGTTTACTACTCCACGTCCATATTCATAACGGCTGGCTTAGCTGTAAACGCAGCGCCGTTCTATGCTACGATAGGACTAAGGCACTGTCAACATGCTGTCGACGTTTTGTGTCCGTCTACCTCGTCGAAACGATGGGTCGCAGGTGCGTTATCCTCTGCCTGCCTCTGTGCCGTTACGTCACTGCCTCTGTAATGTTACGTCACTGCCTCTGTGACGTTACGTCATTGCCTCCGTGATGTTACGTCAGTGTCACTGTGATGTCACGTCACTACCTCTGTGACGTTACGCCAGTGTCTCTGTGACGCTACGGCAGTGTCTCTGTGACGTTACGTCACTGTCTCTGTGACGTTACGTCACTGCCTCTGTGATGCTACGTCAGCGTCTCTGTGACGTTACGGCAGAGTCTCTGTGACGTTACGTCAGCGTCTTTGTGACGTTACGTCATTGCTTCTGTGACGTTACGAAACTGCTTCCGTGACGTTACGTCAGTGTCACTGTGATGTCACGTCACTGCCTCTGTGACGTTACGCCAGTGTCTATGTGACGTTACGGCAGAGTCTCTGTGACGTTACGTCACTGTCTCTGTGGCGTCACGTCAGTGCATTTGTGACGTTACGTAAGTGTCACTGTGATGTCACGTCACTGCCTCTGTGACGTTACGTCAGTGTCTCTGTGACCTTACGGCAGAGTCTCTGTGACGTTACGTCACTGTCTCTGTGACGTTACGTTAGCGTCTCTGTGACGTTACGTCACTGCCTCTGTGACATTACGGCAGTGTCTCTGTGACGTTACGTCAGCGTCTTTGTGACGTTACGTCAGTGTCTCTGTGACGTTACGCCAGTGTCTCTGTGACGTTACTTCAGTGTTACTGTGATGTCACGTCACTGTCTCTGTGATGTAACGTCACGCCAGTGCCTCTGTGACGTTACGTCACTGTCTCTGTGATGCTACGTCACTGCCTCTGTGACATTACGTCACTGCTTCCGTGACATTACGTCTGTGTCACTGGGATGTTACGTTACTGCCTCTGTGACGTTACGCCAGTATCTCTGTGATGTTACGTCAGTGTCTCTGTGATGTCACGTCACTGCCTCTGTGACGTTACGTCAGTGTTTCTGTGACGTTACGTCACTGTCTCTGTGACGTTACGTCAGTATCTCTGTGACGTCACGTCACTGCCTCTGTGACGCCACGCCTGTGTCTCTATGATGTCACGTCACTGCCTCTGTGACGTTACTTCACAGCCTCTGTGATGTTACGTCACTGCCTCTGTGACGTTGCGGCAGTGTCACTGTGATGTTACGTCAGTGCCTCTGTGACGTTACGGCAGTGCCACTGTGATGTTTCATCACTGCCTCTGTGATGTTACGTCAGTGTCTCTGTGATCTTACGCCAGTATCTCTGTGACGTTACGTCAGTGTCTCTGGGACCTTACGTCACTGCCTCTGTGATGTCACGCTAGTGTCTCTATGATGTCACGTCACTGCCTCTGTGATGTTACGTCACTGCCTCTGTGACGTTACGGCAGTGTCACTGTGATGTTACGTCAGTGCCTCTGTGACGATACGGCAGTGCCACTGTGATGTTACGTCACTGCCTCTGTGATGTTACGTCACTGCCTCTGTGACGTTACGGCAGTGTCACTGTGACGTTACGCCAGTGACTCTGTGA